AATCCAAGCCAGAGCAGCATAGAAGTTTTAGATGAAACTCTAAAGTTAGTTTGCTTACAGTTATTATTACAGTTTTTATAGTGATACTTGTAGTTTATGGTACTTAACATCTTGTATGCAGATTAGCTGCATACAAGTACGACAAGTGCATCAAGAAACGAGTTAGATAGAATTGCTTTATTAATACAATTTTATATCAAAAGAGAAACAGAAACATACATGATCTCATCATCTTTTTGTCATATTGTTTATGTTGATATTTCAATGATATTCACTGATGCAGGGCAAACATCACACCAAGTCGCAAACGCTCAACGGAGGAAAAACGTACCGTAATCGCTCCTTCTTTAATAACAATACCAGATGCAACGCCGATCATGACAGGCCTGACAGAAAGTAGTTCTTCGGGTTTGTATTCTTCGTCTTTTGTGTGCCTTTCTTTGCGAACAATTATTAAATCAATTAAGTTTAACAGTGTAATTACTAGGGCAAAATTATGCTGTAAAAAATCTCTTTTTAAGCACCTAAAATGTACTCTGTGAAATTGAAAAAATGCTTTACAGAAAGGAATATATCCTAAAATTATGCTGTAAAAATCCCTTTTTAAGCGCCTAAAATATGCTCTGTGAAATTGAAAAAATGCTCTAAAGAAAGGAATATATGCATTTAAAAATTACTTTTTATCGCAAAATTTTCAAAATATTAATTAAGTTTTTTACTTATAATAACGTAATCATAAACTTAAATTAGAAAACGATGTGAAATATACAATAAAAATAGATAAAATATGTAAATATTGTGCATGTGTGGGCGAAATATGCAAAAATATGCTGTGTGTGAAATATGCAAAAATATGCTGTAACATATATGGCTCAAAATAATTCATAATTTCTTATGAAATAAATTTGTATTTAGTTTATTTCTTTATTAGTCAAATAAAAAAAAGATGCCCTATACATATTTTGGTTGCCTTAGTAATTATTAATGACGATATTAATTTCATCATGGCTCATGTATTTAGACAATAAGAATTTTATTTTTAGACCGTACAATGTGAGAAACACAATTAATAGAAATTCAACAGCCTATACCGGTCGAAGCTAGATCTTAGACGTATTTAGTTTCTCTTTTTTCTATAGAAATTAAAATAATTATTTATAATATATGTATAATAAATAAGGAATTTTATAATGTATTACAAATGCTTATAATCAAGTTGTTCTAGCAAATTATATGTATAAACTGTATCTATAAAATTAACCTTACGCCATTATTTTATTCCATTAAAATAAAAATTAATGCTATTTTCAATATGCAGTTATGTAATCTTTTACAACTTTTACAAATAGTGTCAATTTTTATTTTAATGAAATAAAGTAATGATGTAAAGTTAATTTTATTTACAGGCTCGTTAACAGACAGCATCTGCACGGCATATGAAAATAAAATGGTCAAATCGAACATTGATACGAAATCCCATAGTAGCGATGGCGAAAAGGAAATAGCATTTGCTCCTATGACAAACTTAACATCGATGCTGGGAGGTAAAATAACCAAATTCTATTGAACAAATGATATATTATTCGACACTATTGAAAGCGCTTCGTCGCGTCAATAAAATGAGCAAATATTTTGCTTCTGTTTGCATTAGTTTTATTTTGAATGATATGAACATGATTTCAATCTTGTTTATCAATTATGTTAATCATTATCATTAGTTATATTCATTAGATATTACGTTGTGATATTAATAATTAATAATTAATGTTTTTATATTTGTATTTCTCTGTGTATTATTTTTAGGCTTGCTACAGAGCATCAAAATTGGCAGCAAAACCTTGAAAGGTGAAGAGGCATCAAACTTTTTTGGCAGTAACGTGCAATATTCCTATACTGATTTTAGCAGTGTAGATCATAGAATTAAACTGCATATCATTCTGAATGTATTTGAGCATGAGAACGAAGAACTCGTATTTCTTCTCAAGGTATCCAGCTTGAAATATAATTCATTATATCTCATTTAATTAATTATATATGGCAAATCTGAATTAGATTGAATTATAGAATGGATACATTTTTTTTTTTCATTTTCTTTTATCTGTATAGGCCGACATTTTGATGCATTCTATGCAAGAAACATTTTCTGGATGCTTAGTATTGTCAACGTCTAAGGTTTATGTTCTTAGGATCGACGGTTCAGAAGGGTAAGTTCGTACTTTGGTATAAATTTTAATGTCCAAAATCATAAAAATTTTTAAGAAAAATAAGGTGCTACTTTTTAGTGTGTTCTTTAATGAAAATATCAATAAAGATTTATTTATTTTAATTTTTCGAACTTTAATACACTATGTGTCTTTAGTTAATTTGAAACTAACAGAAGAATCTGGTTTTATGCGGTTTTCTATTCTACTGTTAAACATGCGAGAAAACTTTTTAGTCTTAAAAAAAAATTAAACAAAAGAAGAAGAAAGGAATTTGTAACAGGGAAGATCCACAGCGTTGGCTTCACAAGGAAATCAGTTGGACGACGGACAGATTGAGATCTTTCGTACCGCTGCCATTTAAACAAGGTATTTTAATTGAGTTACAACAGTCTGGGAAAGCTGGCGAAGAGCATCTCGCTATTACCCTGCTTTGTATTCTGCAAGATTTCCAAAGAACATCAAATTTTTTATTTTATATCACAGGTAAAATGTGTTTTAACAAGTAGGTAAGACTTGATTTTAATTGACTGTAAGACTTCAAGTATATTTATATAAATATATTTGACGATGTAATTTACTTTCCTTCTATTTCCTTCTATTTACGATGTGCCTCTGATGATAGATTTGCAGTTGCCTGCAAGCTGCGAAATGGAATTCTCTATTCCAGAGCGTTACAGTATTTTGATGCACAACATATTAACGAATACTGTCAATTATCAGACAGGGGACATCATACGATTATTAGCAATATTTTCCTCCGCAATCTTAAAATATCAAAATATCGCTATCAAGCTGAAACTATCCGGATTGATTCTGACGGGTGCAGCGCTGGTGATATTAAAGGACAATGTTCAATGGCTTATACCAGACAACGATCAAGTGCCTTTGGTCACTAGAGAGCAAGCTATGAGCAATTTGATTGGAATAGTCAGTAATTTTCGATAATATCTATTAGTTATAGCTTATAAAGCTTAGAAAGAGATAATGCTTTTAAATAGTTGCGCTTTATGTAATCTTAGAAGTACAATATGTGCAAAATGTTTTACAATTGAGTCGTTTGCATTATCTCTTTCTATATTATCCGTTGCATATTTAATGTACATTTACTGATATAAATATAATGTAATCATTTTAGGAACATTGTGACACTTGGTTAACTTTAAATTTTTTGGATGAAATTGCGGGTCTCGAGGAAAGCTGGACATTGGAATTTGTCTCTTCTGGTGCTGCCGAGGCCGTAATAAGTTCTATTCAACCTCCGTGGGAAAAGTTATTCTCGATACCTCTGCAAATAACACGCATAACACAAGATAATGCAGAGAAAGCTTAAACAGTAGACAAATCAAATTTCTAGTGAGTTTTTTTACGTTATAATCATGGTGGAATTAATAATGGTGAAGCATTGCGTATAATGACAACAGTAATACTGGAAATAACCACTCAAATGTTCTCCAATATGCAATTTTCTGCGTATAGTAGCGCTGGTTATTACTGAACAGCCAATCAAATATTACCTAAATTCACTCTCCTACTACGCATCCACGGAAGTGCTTCGCCTTATTAATTCTACCATGATTATAGTTCAATAAACTTTTGTCTTATATCTAGAAAATCCAGTAGATTAAAAGTAACCACTACAAAGGAAAAAAACATGCGATGCCCTATCTATTGCAAGAGAGTGGCTGCGTTCAGCAGAGAAAACTAATCAGTTTGCGCTTAGTGATTCTTTAAAATGATTGATTCTTGCCTTTAGTTCTTCACTGGATCTAAGTGTAGGAACCAATTATATTAAAGAATCACTAAGCGCTAACTGATTAGTTTTCTCTGTTGAATGCAGCCATTGATTTGCTGAAACGAAATAGAGAGAAATCCAGATATATGTATAATTAAAGAAAGTATATATACATATATATATATTAAACTTAAAGAAAAAAAATTTATTGAAACATGTTTTATTCAAAATATTTAACATTTTAACAGATGTTCTTTTTTTTACATTTTTACACAATTCAGATGTTTTATATAATATGTTTAACATACGTAATTTACGTGATATGTGGTTTGTAATAGATTTAAATTGATGAGTTGATCAATTTTGCACAGTCTAAAAACGCGAAGATATCTTGATACAAAGGAGATATGAAGAAATAATTGTTTCTCGATGAGAGAACCTGAACGAATTTAACATTCAAGAAAGATTTAATAAAAGAACAAGAAAGTAATGACAAAATTATAAGTAAAATATCAAAAGTATGGTTCTCAATGGTGCTACACACAAGAACTATTGTAAATATAACTTAATTGTAAATACTTTCGTTAGAATTGCCTTGTATTAACTTTTGAGCCAAAGTTTCTCTGAAACGATATTGTATGCATGCAGTCTTTTTTGTATAAATTTCTCACAATTTGTGTTGTATATTTGGCAATTTAATTATTAATTATTTCTGATTATAAATGTCTTGACTGTGATATGTATATTTAGAATTTTCTAATAAATGCAAGATACTCAGGTATTAGTAAATATTTATATCGCGAGGATATTGTAATTTATATTTTGTAAAACAAAGCATATAAATAAATATAATTATAATCTTAAAGTATACTTTTTCGATTCTTATCTCTTTATTATCATCATCTTATTATCATTTTCTATTAGCATCAAACACGAATGTAAGGTCTGTTTTTTAATCCTGCACTAGACTCCATTAAAACTTTCTTTCTCGTTTTCGCTAAATATCAAACATATATCTATTTCACTTTAAGTTCCAAAAGTGTACACTAGTTGAGCTACAGAAAACAGACCTTGTAATAAAATGACCTACTTTAATGCATTTTATACATTATTGTAATGGAAGAAACATCTTGCTACACTTTTGTATTACGAGTCATGTCTGTAGCTTGAAAGATTACGACATATGCTATTGATAATGATATGCACTACTGCAAATTACTTAATAAGTACCCGCGTTCTCCATATCTTAGATAGTATCGATATTTCAGTTATCCATTCGTTTGCCATTCCTTCGTAACCATCTATCAAAGAGTTTCGAGTATATATTTTATAGAAGGTATGATTTATAATACATATACCTTAGTTTATAGTAATACGGAGGGTAGTATTGATATAATTGACCTAAGCATTGTAACAAAAAAAGGAAAAAAATGATCAGTGTGCGTAAAATAACAAAGACAAACGGCAAGAATTATAGGAAAGTTATTATTTTATAATGTAACATTTATATATGTATGTTCCTGATGGAAAAATTTTACTGAAATTTCATGTAAATTTCACTGAAAGTGATATTTTTTTTTAGCAAAATTGCTAAAATTTGCTGCGGATGATTTTTTCAAGCAAATTAATGAAAAATCGCTGAAATTTAATTAAAATTTCTCTAAGTTTTTCTGAAATGATGAAAATTAGTTAAAAACTTATTACAATTTTTTCAAAAAGTTTTCGAAACAGTTTGTTGAATTTCTCTAATACTTTGCCGCGAATGCGATACACCATACTGCAACTGTTACCATATGGATGCGGTGGAGTTGTATTTTTCTAGTTCTATTTTAATAATTAAAATATAGAATAGAATAAAAGGAGGAGCATTATGAGATTTTTCATCTATTGATATTCATTCCGACGATCTTATACTTAAGACCATCTTAAGTACGGTCTCAAGATATCACGAACCAATCAGAGGCCGATATTCATAGTCGGTTCTTATTTCAAGTTCTTAAGTAGAGATCCTTTAATCAGAGACTGGCCATAAGGATTTCGTCAAATTTCTCCAAGCGAGAAAGGAGTATAGACTATCTCACTCTTCAGTGTGTGTACATCATGTATACACACCGCTATTGGTGGAAGAGTGAGATAGCCTATACTCCTTTCTCGCTTGGAGAAATTTGACGAAATCCTTATGGCCAGTTTCTGATTAAAGGGTCTTTAGTCTTAAGTAATGTCTTAAGTCGCTAAAATGCGGCCCTCTGATTGGTTCATAACATCTTAAGACTGTACTTAAGACCGTCTTAAATATAAGATCCGACTATGAATACCGGCTAGAGAGCCGTATTAGCTTCTTAAGACATTACTTAAGACGGTCTTGAAAGACTATGAAAATACCGGCCCATATTTTAATAATTCTTTAAAGAAATCGATGAATCTTCAAAATTGAATTCTGAGATGAAAATAAATGAGATATATTTTTTTAGTACAATTTTGTTTAGAAAAATTGTAAAAATCAATTCAAGATCCAGTCTTGTGTTTGTTGTATAAAAATATGCAATTTTGTTTTCAAATGTATTTAAATTTCGCTAAAATTTTGTTGAAAAGTGTTCCGAGAAATACTGGAACAATTTTAGCAAAATTTCAGTGAATTTTTCAGCAAAGATTTTTTCCATGAGGAATAAATTGTAATATTCTTATATACGCATTCACACATGTAATAATTATCAATCTTTGTACAAAAAGAATTTAGAAATGCGTATCCTACAAATTGTAACAGCATGGCTCATTCTCATCGTAATACCGCACTGTGGCATCCATGCTTTTGGATACAGTAAGAGAGGTATGACAAGTTTTACAAATTTCGATTTATTTTTCGCGATTTAATATATAAAATAAATCTGTAAAAGAATCGTAGACAATTTTCCTTTCTTTTTTTTCTTCTTTATTTAAATAACAGACGAAATTAATTCGGAAATAAGATAAGCACTTGAAAACAATTATAATCCATATAAATCAAGATTACTTAAAAACAGTGAAACCCGTGTAAAGACTAACGATAAATCTAGAGATCGACAAATAATTACAAATTAATGAGATTCTATAATTATTATTCATATTCAAATGATGATTGTGTAAATAGCAGCCTACTTAACGCATATATAACCTTTTTTAAGATTTCGTGATTTGAGTAAAATTTTTTTCTTCGTAATATATATGATCCTTTAAAATGCATCTGATGAAAAATTTTATGAATTAATCATCAAGAAGATCAATCATCAAGATTTCCTGAAGATATATAATTATGTATACATTCATATTTATACATGTGTTCCAGCTACAGAATTGAATACGTATAATGATAATAACAAACATGAAGAATCACTCTTGTATTTTAAGGTAACATAGATAAGAAAATAAAAATTACTTGTTATTTACCGGCATTTCGTAAATAATATATTTAACAAAACTAAGTGCCAGTGAATTGCTTTGCAAACGATCACAATAACAGTATAGGTTTAGTGAGACTACCATTATTTTGTTACATATTATTATATTGTTAAAACAACAAGCCTAATTTCAGCTAGTGTGACGAATTAAGAGTATTATATGAACACAGAGACACTATTGCAGTATAAAAATAAAACGTTAGAGGAAGAACTCAAAATGAATGTATATATAATTATGTACATTAGGCCTTAAAGGATTATTAGTGAGTAAAAGAAAAATGTTATTCTAATGTTTTTTTTTTAGATCAACACTTGTGGCCGAAGAAGTGCAAATCATGCGCAGGAAAACGACAATCACCAGTGGCTATATGTACATCAAAGGCGATCGTTAAACCATTTCCGGCTCTCGAACTGATTGGTTATCATGATTTTCTTCCAATGCCGCAATTATTAAAAAATAATGAAAAAACTGGTAAATATTTTTGAGTCGCACATAATTCTACATTAAACTTTTTAAAAGAGAATGTATAACACATCTCTTTTTTGTTAGTTATACTTAGTATAGACAAAAATGCGACACAAGTATATAGAACATTGCCATATATATTCGGAGGCATGCTGCAAAATCAAACATTTGAAATGGAAGAAGTGCACTTTCATTGGGGCTTAAAAAATAATAGAGGTGCCGAACATGTACTAAACGGTATAAGGTAACAGTCGTATTTATTTGTTCGAATTGAAATAAATAATAAAGAATAAATCATAGCAATAAGAGATCAATATCCGTAGATATTCAATGGAAACGCATATTATACATTACAATATGGCATATGGCAATTTTTTGAATGCGTTACAACACGAGGATGGTATAGCTGTAATAGCTTCTTTCTTCCAGGTAATCACGCGTACGCACGCACGCAATACGCAAACACGCACAAAAATCGTTCTTTAAATCAACTATAAATACGAAGCGCTAATTACGGTCAAAGTTAGATGTTAGACTAACACACACACACACACGCACACGCACACACGCGTATTTTAGATAAATTTAATTTATCTCAGAAATGACCGCACCGATTACTTTTGGTCTTTCAACATTTAATCAATCTGAAATATAATAATCCCCCCAAATTTAATTAAATCTTTGATTTGATGCTACTAACTTAAAACCTGTAAAGAACGTACTTATTGTGAAAAATATTATCTCGACTAAAACTTTAAACTTTAAATCGTCGTTTACATATGCTACCCCTTCAATCCCACTAACAATATATGTATATACATAAGTATCTTTTTACACAATTAATATACCCAAGTACTTTTATAAATTACAAATAAAAATTAAATAAAAGTCTATCAAAAACTTATTTAATTCCAAAGATTTACAAAATCGAGGAAAGCTCTATGTCTAAGTATAATTACATGCTTTAATTTCAGTTGCAAGACGAAGACAACGAGCGTCTTCAACCTTTTATAAGCAAGTTATCTGATGTGCAATGGGCACATACAGAGTTGTCGGTCACTATGTATCTCACTCTAGCATCTCTAATACCGTCAAACACCGATGTCTTTTATACATACAAAGGATCTCTCACAACTCCGCCTTGTAGTGAAGTAGTCACCTGGAACATTTTCGCCAATCCAATTCCAATATCCTTTCGTCAGGTATATTACTTACACTTTAATCATGTTTTATTACAAGTACACACAAGTACATATATTTAGCATTCCTCTCTTTCTTAAAACAATTTTTTAACAATGATACAATTTTTTTATTATTTCAAATAATCGAAATAATTCACTTTCAATAAGGAGATATCATATAGCCGCGTACTGTCTCTATATATAATACTTATATTTATGTGACTTATATATACATATATGTAAACTCATATATTATATTACATTTATATGTAATTTATTTATCTATTTTATCATAGATAAACATGTTCCGGAGACTCTCAAACGGCGAGGGAATTTTGGGTGATAATTTTAGACTATTACAAGATATCGGTCAACGTAAAATATATACTAGAAGATTAGACTCAACAGTCTCAACAAAAGATATCAAACATGGTTTTACAAATTTAAGTTGGTTCTGGGTGTAATACAATAATTGAAAATCGATAATTTCTGTTTTTATCTTTCAGCTTGTAAAACTGAAATATTTCTTGTTGCGAAATTCGTTTATTCATTTTTTTATAGATCACTCGATTATTCGAGTTCAATCACAAGATAGAGAGCTCCCTTTAAATACATAATACAAAGTATTTTTGATAAATGTTCAGCGCCCCCACTTTTGATTTTTCTGTAATTTTGTAAATTTGTGTATTTTTAAGTGTAGAATATATTCCGAGAAGGAAAATTGTCGGACAAGTCTCGTTCTTTTTTTATTTAATTTCAAAATTTTCCAATGTCGGTAAGTTGGAAAATGATAACTTAATGATATTTTTTACAACTGCGCATACTCATTAATGTTATCATTTACGACTGCGCATGTTCATTAATGTTGTCATTTATTAATTAAATATCAATTAATATCAATTTAATATCAGTTCAGTTATAAATTAAGTATTTTAAAGAAATGTTATATTTAAATTTCAATCCACATAAAAAGAATTTAAAAGATATAAATTTTGAATCATAAACTTTCTGTTATAATTTAAGTTATATAAGAAAAATCGTATTTTTAATTAATTAAAGCAGAGAATGTGTAGATACATTTTGGATCATGAACTATCTCTGCTATTCTCTGCTATAATATAAATCATATAAGAAAATTGGGACTTTTAATTAATTAAAGCAGAAAATATTAAACTTTGTCTTTTAATAAAAATTAAACTTTGTCTTTTATTTGTTAACAATAAAAATTTGTCTAACTTCATATTTAATAGGTTAAAAAGATATTTAATTAATAAATGACAACATTAATGAGCATACGCAGTTGTAAAATATTATTAAATTATCATTTTCCAACTTACCGACATCAAAAAACTTTAAAATTAAATAAAAAAAAAAATGAAATTTGTCCAACAATTTTCCTTCTCGGAATATATTCTATACATGAAAATAAAAAAACAAATTTACAAAATTACAGGAAAATCGAAGGTGGGGGCGCTATACTGAACATTTACCGTATTTTTAACTACTCTCTTTCTCACTATTATGAATTATAGAATTCATAATAAGTTTATAGATTAATCATTTACATAACAACTTATTAAATCACATATGAAGTTTTTTGCATGTTGATACTCCTAATCGGGTGATCACGAGCCATGCTAACAGAGAAATAGCATTCTTATGCTGGCATGGCCAACTCAAAAAATTCTGGATTGGCCATAGCACATCCTCTGAGAGAATAATAACTGGCTCGTTTTTATACACATACCATAACCACAATATTAATGTACCCTGAAAAAGCAATATAGAGCTTGAAAGAGTAAAAAGAATAAGGATTCAGACTCCTAATTCTTTGCTGTAATCATATTGAATTATGACAGAAGGAAAAAATTATATCAATTTTCCATCTTATAAAATATATATGCAAAATATTTTAATTCTTTCTTGTGTCACTACTTGATCAATAAAATAGTGAAATATATCATGAACTGTTCTTTTAGTTCATGTGATAACATGCAAAAATAGATTTATCTTAATGTATGACATATGAAAAAAATTCATAATCATAATTTGGTAATTTAATATGATTATAGTGAAAAACTGAAAGACTTGTTTAAGCAAACAATATACGTACGTTCAGTGCACGAAAACTATAAATTAGCAACATCTGCAGTTTTATTTTTTTATTTAATCGTTGATTCACTATAAAAAAAGGGAAGATTGTACAAATTCAGGTATATATAAAATTTGTGACTAACAGGCAATGATAAAAAAACAATCTTATATCAATCTTATATGCATCTTATTGCTGTAAAAAAAATCAATTCCTCAATCCAACATTGATAAGATGGACGTTCTTTAGAGTGATAATCTGTCACAAGTTTTTATTCGATAAAATATGGAGGAAAAACTCACTGTTTTCTTTCAGAATACTTTCCACATGATTGCATCGACGTTGGAGCTTGGCACATTTGGCAAACTCATCCACCATGGAGAGTCCTGCCATATTTTCTTTCAAATTATTCAATTCCTTTCGCAGCTCAATGTCATATCTCTTTTGCGCAAGTACATGTGATAAAACCTATATTTAATAACAACAAAATATTAAGCTATTGAGCACATAGTTTGATACAATTTAAATATCTTTAAATATTATTTATCAGAATACAAATACAAACAAATTTTCATCAATTTTAACATAAATATTCGAAAGATTTACAAATAAAATAAAAAGTGATTCATCAGATTTACAATCGTCTTTGATGACAAATTCCAATAAAAGTTAAATAAAAATTAAATATTAAAATGCAAGTGTAAATTTTTCCAGAATACTCACAAATTTAATTAGAAACGGCGCAATATTATCCAAAATACAAATCCAAGTGGAAATCACGAGTAAATCCATGTGTGTGATGTGAAAAATATAACCTATATTTGCAATATTTATCTTCTTAACTTCTCTGCCTCATTTTTTTGGTGTTCCATATATGTATACTTACATATATCTTCAAAAAAAATCAAATCACATCTTTCAACGTGTAGATTCGCAAATGCAACGCATCGTAGGCTAGAGACCACCAGAGTATGCTAGTGATGCCGATTCTTAAATCGATGCATCGAGAATCGATTCTTTTTGCTCTTGAAAAATCGATTTTAATTCGATTTTTTATTTCTCGATTCTTTCGGAATCGATCCAATTTTTCAGAGAATCGTATCGACGATTCTCAATTTTTACAAATTGTTAATTTCGAAACGAAGGGCGCACGAAGCTATTGTACTCTGCCAATCACAGCACCTAGTTTTTGCTACTCAAAGACATAGGGCGAGTTCAAGACGGCAAAGCGGCTAGGCGTGCTTACCGAGCGATTGAATATGATTGGTTGGATCTATAAGTAACAACCAATTATGTTCATTTGCTTGGCGAGCAGGTTAGCCGCTTTGTCAACTTGAACGCGCCCAATGTGTTGCTACTGCTCTAGCGCAATGGACCAATCACAATAAGACTGATTTAATATGTGATTGGTCTGTTATTGGTCGGCAGTCAGAGTTGGC